TAAAATTGTTTTTGTAGAGAAATTTTATGATGCAGTGATGGTCAAAATACGAAATTTCTTTAGTGTTTTTCATAATTCTGTTTTGGTTTGCTTCTTTGGTAATATAAAATAATATATATTTGTTAATGTGAACGCTGCTATTTCATAGCATGCCCATCTCTGCTTTAAACCCTTTAAATAGGCTTGTTTTAGGAGAAAAACAACACACTCACACACCGCTGATTGAAACGTATGGATGGTTCTATTGATGTTGACCACAAAACCAGACGCATATTTAAACATTTTTTAAACACCAGATGTGTCTTGTTGCTCCACATGAACTTAGAAACCCAATAGTATTCCCAAATGAAAATGAATACAATCGAGTGGGAGTGGTAGTTTTAATATAAGATTAATATTATATTAGCTGTAAATTGTGTGTGTGTTTTAAATATGTACATACATAAGTATTTAATCCATATTCTCTTAAGACTATTTCCGAATGAAATTACTTGCCAATATCTTTAAATATTTAAAACTCTATTCAATATTTAATTAGCTCTATAGCACAAATTTTCTTTTTGTTTTACAAAACAAAAATCAACTTTAAAATGTATTTTCATTGTCAACTTTAATACAAAAGAATTTACTCTATTCCTCCCTTTATTGCTTTATTGTACTGCTACAACTACTACAAGGCGCTCTAAAAAAGAATTACAAACTAAACCGCTAAAAATCAATCCAAACTTTTTTTTTTGGCTATTAACGATTTTTCCAAACATGGTTGTGTTTAGTCAATGTCCTGCACTTGCTACTGTTGGCAAATTCAAATAACCAAACCAGCACAACACATTTGAAAAACTAAAAAAATATTGTTTTTTTTCAGTTCTTGTTCAAATTTTAATTGTTTTGCATGCGGTTGCATGGTTAAGTTGCTGCCCAGCCAGGGCAACAACTAGGAGGCGGACGAGGTGGAGTTTCCCTTTTGGAAAAACACTATTTTCTATAAATTTGCTTATTTTGTTATTCAAACACACCCAACAGCCATTTCCTGTGTGTTCATGTTTTTCCTCTTCAGCAAAACAGCTTCAAAAAAAAAACCTTGTCTATTTTTGGGCGTTTTTATTTATTTTTTCCTTTTGTATGTGTGTTATATGTGCGTTTGTGGTCGGTTATTTTCATTAGTTATTCAATAGTTCTTTTTGTTTGGATTTGAGAGTTTGTATTTGTTAATGCAGTATTTTTAATTTTTTTTTATGTTTTACTACATGCGTGAGTATTGTATGTAAAATTAAATGTAAATGTATTGATAACGGTTCATTATTATTGATAGTTTGATCCGAAATATAGGTTAGGAGGATAAATATTACCAGAAAAAGCTAAAATTACAAAGAAATCTGACCTATGAAATGAAAAAATGTTTTTTTATAAAAAAGCTCTTATATAAAAAGCTTTTTTAAGAAAAAGCTCTTTTAAAAACGTTTTTTATAAAAAGGTCCTTTATAAAAAGCTTTTTTATAAAAAGCTTTTTTATAAAAAGCTTTTTTAATTAAAAGCTTTTTAATAAAAATGAAAAAAAGCTTTTTTATAAAAAAAGCTTTTTTTATAAAAAGCTCTTTTATAAAAAAGCTCTTTTTATAAAAAGCTTTTTTATAAAAAGCTCTTTTACAAAAATCTTTATAAAAAGCTTTTTTAATAAAGTTTTTTTTATAAAAATCTATTTAAAAAAAAAAGCGCCTTTTCATCATATTATATCCTTTATTATACCCTACACCACTTTAGTGGGGAGGGTATATTGGATTTGTGCTGATGTTTGTAACATACAAAAATATTCGTCCTAGACCCACCTTAAAGTATACCAATCGGCTTAGAATCGTTTTCTGAGTCGATTAAGCTATGTCCGTCCGTCCGTCCGTATGTCTGGCTGGCTGTCCATGTAAACCTTGTGCGCAAGGTACAGGTCGCACGCACGTTTTATTTGACCCAAGGACGAAGCCTATTGAAAATGGTTAAAATCGGTCCATTATTTCACCTAGCCCCCATACAACAGAACCCCCCGAAACGGGCTTCTGAGCTCATAATTATGTTAAATATACAGATATATCGATAAAATACGGCACAACTAAGTTTTATAGAAGTCTTGATGACCCTGCCAAATTTCATAAAGATCGGGCCACATTTGACCCTAGCTCCCATACAAAGTCCCCTTCAGAAAATTACTTGAATGTCCCAAATTAACTTATAAACACAAATATCGCGATGAAATTCATCACAATAAAATATTATGTCAATATAAATATATTCACAAAATTTTATCGGGCTTGGTCCATATTTGCCCCTAGCCCCTATATAAAGCCTCTTTCAGAAAATTAGTTTTTCATCCATAAATTGCTTAAATGTATCGGAACAAGGGAATATTGAAGATAAATGCTATATTGTGAAAAATAAATCACATTTAATATTCATAACTGGTGTAGGGTATCATATGGTCGGCCACGCCCGACTATAATTTCTTACTTGTTTTTATATAACTTTTTATAAAAGGTTTTTAAAATTTTTTTTTTTCATAAAAGTTTTTCATGAATTACTCTCCTTCATAAAAATATCATTTTTAAAACGATTCGTAAAAAAACTTTTTTATATTAAAAAGTCCCTTTTCATTATGCAAACGTTTTATATGACTTTTTTTATGTTATAAAAAAAGCTTTATTTTTAACAAATGTCTTTGTTCTTTCTCTTTAACAAATAACATTTTTTCATAAGAAATATTTAATAAAACATTAATTTTTTATAACACTTTTTTTCTTAATCTTTTAAATAAAAAAGCTTATTTTCTTATAAAATGTCTTTGTGTTTTCCTTAAAAAAGCTTCTTTTTGTCATAAAATATTAAAAAAAAGGTTTTTTGTATAAGAAATCTTTTTAATATGTGAAACAATTCATAAGACAGCTTTTTTAAAAAAGTCCAATTTCATAGGAAAGCATATTCCAGTTGTAATAAAAAGCTTTTTTATAAAGAAATAATTTTTAATAACAAGTTATTTTTCATAAAAAACTTTTTTCATAAGCTCTTAAAGAAAAAGCTTTTTTGTAAGGAAATCCTTTCTTTTTTCATAATCGTTTCAACAAAAAGCTTTTTTTCACAAGAAAGAACTTTCATAAAGAGCCTTTCTCTCCTCATAAACTTTTTAACAAAAAGCTTTGTTACAAGAAAGAACTTTCACAAAAAGCTTATTTCATACAGGAACTCTTTTTTCTTTTTAAAAGCTGTTTCATAGTAAAGTTTTTTACGTTTACATGTTTTTTACGAACAGCTTTTTCCATAAAAGTGTTTGTTCATGAAGTCTTAAGATAATCCTTTTTCATGAGAAAAGTCTTTTTTTTAACGTTTTTAATAAAGCTCTTTAATAGACATAATAACATTTTACCAAAAATCTTTTTTCAAAGAAACGCCTATTTGACAGCTTTTTTTCGCAAAAAAAGTTTCTGGAGTTGTTTTCTTGAAAAATTTTAATTTTGCATAAAGAGTTATTCTTTTTAAAGAATATTTTCACAAAAAGCTTTTAAATAAAAAAGCTTTTCATAAGAAAGCTTTTCCATAAAAGCTTTAAAAAAAGTTTTCTCATAAAAGCTTTTCATATAAAATATTTTTATTAAAAAACATTACAAAGCTTTTAATAAAAAAGCTTTTTTATAAAAGCTTTCCATAAAAAAGCTTTTTCATAAAAGCTTTTCATAAAAAAGCTTTTACATATAAAATCTTTTTCATAAAAAAGCTTTTTCATAAAAAAGCTTTTTCATAAAAGCTTTTCATAAAAAAGCTTTTTTAAAACAAGCTTTTTCATAAAAAAGTTTCTTTTTTCTAAAAAGCTCTTATTTATAAAAAACTTTTCTTGTATAAAAATTATCTTTTTTCAAAAATTTTTTTGATAAAAAGCTTATTTCATAAAAAAGCTCGATTTTACAAAAAACTACTAAAAAATCTTATTTTCCATAAAAAATTGTGACGGACATATTATTTAGAAATTAATGGAATTGAAAATCTTTTGGAATCTTTTTGAAATACAAAGCTTTTTCCGAAAGTTTTCTTTTTTTCATAAAAGCGCTCTTTTATACTTTAAGTATCATAAAAATAAACTTTAGAAGACATTTTATACAAAATTTCGAAATAGCTTTCTGTCATAAAAAAATAACTTTTCTAAGAAAGCTTTTTTAAACTTCATAGCAAATATCGTATCTTTTGATCACCTTAATATTTATTTTGAATTATGCACATGTTACATTTGTTATTGATTGTCAAAGTGTAGTGGCGGCAGCAGCATTCACTCACTCACTTGTAAACCCAATCAGACCAACTCAACTCACCAATTCAGTATTTTATTATTTTCGCTGATAAATATATGCAATACAATTAAAATTTTTCAAAATATATATTTCTTGTTTTGTTTTTTTTTTTTTTTGCTTTGTTTTCACAATGTAAATTGATGGTGTTGAAGATAAAATGGGATTTCAATACAAAATTTTTTTATATACAAATCCTTATGCCTCTCCGCCTCCCTATAAAAATAACAAACAAAAAGCTGAAACGCACTGTATTGCTGTAATAAAATGAATAGTTATCAAGTGATTGGCAGTAATAAAACCAAAAAATAAATAAATAAAATTAAATTCAAATGAAAGTTGCAACAGTAAATGCAATGAGAGAGAAAAAAATACAAGAATTGGCTACCACAATATTTGTGTTCAATCATTGTATAAATGAAAATGTTGAAACAGAGAAAAAACTCAATTTATATAGAGACTTTTAACCAATATAAGTCAATAATATTGTTAATGAATTCATTTACAAAACAACATTTGTTTTTGTTTTAGGTCGAAAAATAAATTGCCAAATTGTAAATATTGTAAATTAAAACCCAAAAAATTTCCGTGAAATCACAAAAATCCATTTAATTTTTTTTTTTTGTAAAAAATAAACTAATTAAATTTCTAAATTCTAATTTATCATTTTATAAACTAAAGGGTGGCTAGTGGATTTCCCGATACCAGAACTTGTCTTTTACATCAGAAATTGCAAATGTTGAATGTCTGCATAGAGCGTAGATTGCAGCGCGAACAGGGCGTTAGCAAAGTGTCAAAGCCTCAATGGTCTGACACCTCAGTTTATGATAGCGATAAGGAGGAGAAAGAAGACGATAATGATACTGAGGAAGAATTTTACGATTGTGATGAAGATGAAGCCAATCGTTCACTATCACCGGTTAAAGGTGTTGAGGCTACGAAACCAGAAGGACGTCTAAAACGTTTGCGTGACTTAAAATTATTAGATTCTGAAGAATATTTATATGTGCCCATTACCCAAGAGCCCGTACCCAAGACTGAAGATCAATTGCAAGATGATGCCGATGTTATGTTAAAGTTGGGAACCTCTTCGGGTTAGTAGTGCTTATTTTAGGGTTGTAAGTAAATTAATAATATAGTCATAATTTTTCTTTTCTTAGATCATGTTACTGCCATGATGTGCTCTACTTTACAATCGGATGCTGAAGCTTTTAAGGCTGCTAATTTAAATGCTTGTTTTGAAGACTTTATTCGTTGGTATAGTCCCAACGATTGGGAGGAGTATTTAGATGATCAGGGTGATAAACAGCATAGGTTAAGTGCTCGCATGAGAGCTGAGGGTAATACTTGGCAAACGGTGTGGGAGGAGGCAAAACCAGTACCGGTATCGAGACAAGTGAGTACAATTACATATGAAGTTTAGTTTTCCCTTTTAAAAGAGCTTTTGTTTAAAGTTTAAACTTCATATTTGTAAAAGCAATACTTTCAGTGATTTTTATTCAATAAAAAGTTCTGGACTATAAAGCTTTTTCGGAATAAATTACAAATATTAACACGAAAGTTCTGAATTTATTTGTGTAGACCTTTAAATTCAGTTGTCATAAGAAGCTTTTATAAATTTTAATAATCTAAAGCTTTTAGATTCAATTTTACGAAAAAAGTTTTTATAAGTTTTACTCATTAAAAGCTTTCAAGTAAAAAAATTTAAAGCTTTAATCTTATAAGCTAAACATTTTTATCTGCAAGTCTTTTCATTAAATTTTAAGTAAAAAGCTCATGAAAGCTTTTAGCGGAAAAAGTTTTCATAAACGCTTTTGAATGCTTTATACTTAAAAAGCTTGTGAATTTAAACAGTTAAACCACATTGAAAGCTGTAGTCATAAAAAGTTTAATCTTAAAAAGCTTTTAAATGCTTTATTCAATCTTATGAATGATTTATGCTTAAAAAGCTTTTAAGCATAAATAATTATTAATCTTAAACAGCATTGAAAGCTTTAATCTTAAAAAGTTTTTAGAAGTAAAAAAAATATAAATTAACTTTGAAAGCTTCATAAAGCTTTTATTTTAAAAATTTGAAACTTTTTATCTTAAAAGGTTTTTAAAGCTTTTATCTTTAACAGTGTTTATAAAAAGCTTTTGGAAGCCTTTATCTTAAAAAGTATTTGGAAGCTTTTATCTAAAAAAGCTTTTGGACTTTTTAATGTGAAAACAATTTTATAATCTTTTATCTTAAAAAGCTTTAGGAAACGTTTATCTAAGAAAGATTTTAGAAACCTTTATCTTAAACTTCCTTTAGAAGTATTTATCTTAAAAAGCTTTTGGGAGCTTTTGGAAGCTTCTTAGAAAGCGTTTGAAAGCTTTTATATTAAAGAGCTTTTATCTTAAAAAGCTTTTAGAGGCATTTGGAAGATTTTGTTTTGGAAGCTTTTATCTTAAAAGCGTTAAAAACTCTTATATTAAACAACTTTTTAAAGCTTTTACAAACTTTTATCTTCAATCTGAAGTCTTAATTTTTGTTTTTTTTAAAAGCTTTAAAGGTCTTAATCTTTTGAAAGTTTTAATCATCGGTTTAATAATAATAAAGCTTTAGTCTTGTTTATAAAAAAAGGTGCAATTATATTTTTGTTATATTTTCAATTAAAAAACTTTAAAGCTCTTTACAAATTCAAGCTTTTAAAACTTTTTTAGTTGATTAAAGTTCAATCTTTTTTCTGATCTAAATTAATTTACAAATATTGTATAACTTTCTAGAAACGTTTATTCGATGATACCAATGAAGCTTACAAGGTCCTAAACTATTTGGAAACTCGTAATATTGGTGAAATTTATGGTCTCACCATAGTGCCCCTACTGCACAGCACTATACTGAAATTAAAGGTAATTTTTAAAATCATTAAGAAAACCTTAAAACATTTTAATTAACAAATGTATTCCACAGAATATTTTCACCAATTCCCATGTCTTGGAACTATTTGCCGAATCCCTAGATGACATTTTAGCTGAACTCAGTCGTTTCTCACGCGACATAGAAGTCGTGGCCGGATCACCCTCCTCCACTTCCTCAACTACTTCTAATAATGAAACTAATTACGTTTTACAATTGCCCAATCCTGCAGGCATAACCAAAAAGATAGAACAATTGGAAATGCAATACTATCAATATGAATGCTTTAAACAAATGCCGCAATTACGGAACATGGATGTTAAGCAAATACAAAAGAAATTTATGGAAATATTAAAAAATCAAGGAAGTTGTACTATAACACCCAGACACTTTAAAGAAGGTGAAGTTATCGATAAGACAGCCGAGGTAGAAGAATGTTTAATGTCTTCGTTTAAGCATGACATGCAAGAGAGACTTTTAAGCAAGGATTATGTTATACGCATAGGAGAGGGCTTAACGAAAACCAATGAAACAGAGAGAGATAATGAGAATGCTAAAACAGTAATGCCGCAATTCTTGAGAGCTGTTGTAACGGGAGAAAAGTTGCGTTTGTGTGGAGCTTTTACAGAAAACACCACATTTTTGGATTAAGGATCGAGGCAAAATATTATATTTATACAGCATTTAATGCATATTAAGGGTTTTGGTGTGATTTCATATTTATTAACTAAACTAAATAATCTCTCTATTAAATTATTATAATCAAAAAAAAAAAAAAAAAAAAAAAAAAAAAAAAAATATCTCTTAAACTTAATTTTAATGTGTTTTTAGTTTCTTTGTTAACAAAAAATTTATTTAATTATAAGTTTGTTGCTTAATTTTGCTACTTTTCATTTTGATTTTTTTTCTGTTCTTTAAGCTATTAGGATTTTAAAAATGAAGTTTAAATAAGTTTTGTGTTTTTGTTAAATAAATGCAACCAAAAATGTTGTCTTGCACTTAGAGAACAAAATGGCAACAAAATATTCAAATGAACTTTTTCTTTAACTAACTACTTACTCCCTTTGGTACGAGGAGGTATGACAGCCTAGGCAGTACAGGCCACAGAAATAATTTCTTTCTGGTATGTTTTTCATAGAAATCTTATGAAACAAAAAACAAGTAAGAAAGTATAGTCGGGCGTGGCCGACCATATGATACCCTACACCAGTTATGAATATTAAATGTGATTTATTTTTCATAATATCGCATTTATCTTCAATATTCCCTTGTTCCGATACACTTAAGCAATTTATGGATGAAGAACTAATTTTCTGAAAGAGGCTTTATATGGGGGCTAGGGGCAAATATGGACCAAGCCCGATAAAATTTTGTGAATATATTTACATAATATTTTATTGTGCTGAATTTCATCGCGATATTTGTGTTTATAAGTTAATTTGGGACATTCAAGTAATTTTCTGAAGGGGACTTTGTATGGGAGCTAGGGTCAAATGGGGCCCGATCTTTATGAAATTTGGCAGCGTTATCAAGACTTCTATAAAACTTAGTTGTGCCGTATTTTATCGATATATCTGTATATTTAACATAATTATGAGCTCAGAAGCCCTTTTCGGGGGGTTCTGTTCTATGGCGGCTAGGTGAAATAATGGTCCGATTTTAACCATTTTCAATAGGCTTCGTCCTTGGGTCAAATAAAACGTGCGTGCCAAATTTCATCCAATTATCTTGAAAATTGCGACCTGTACCTTGCGCACAAGGTTTACATGGACAGCCAGCCAGCCAGACGGACGGACGGACGGACGGACGGACATAGCTTAATCGACTCAGAAAATGATTCTAAGCCGATTGGTATACTTTAAGGTGGGTCTAGGACGAATATTTTTATATGTTACAAACATCAGCACAAATCCAATATACCCTCCCCACTAAAGTGGTGTAGGGTATAAAAAAAATTGAAAAAAAAAAACATCAAAACGAATGCCACCGTGTTTAAAAGGCTGCATTTTTTTCTTAAATGCCACAGGTAATTTTTTGCCTTTATTTAACAGAACACAGCAACACACATAGAGAAAATGTCTGCAAAACCTTCATTAGTCAAGCCTTCCTTTGAGTCTCTATAAGTTTTATTTTTTTTTTCGTTTTTGTTCTTGCTTTCATTTCCTGACTGCCTGCCAGCAACCAATGTACTAACCAACCAGTCAGTTTATACCACCAACGCCTGTTTTGCTCATTCACTCCATCATACTTTGGTAATTTGAAATATTTAACTAAAATTACTTCAAGTATTTCGGTGTGTTGTTTTTGTGATTATTATTTTTTTGTTTTATTCTCCATAAATTGTTCCTATTCTAAAAGGAAACTGCCTGGAAGCACAATAGCTTGGCATACAAAATTGCTGGTTGTTGGGCGGCGGTTGGGTTAAGGAGGAAAGGGAATGCATGAGGTGCAATGATGTTGAGCCAAAATCTAACGTAGAGTGTGAATTATTTGAATAGGAAGACATTTTTTTTAAACGGGATTAATATTTGAAATGTAATCTTTTATAGAATTAGCTCATTTACGAATTTAAATTAAATATGATTAGTAAAGAAATGTTGTTGGAGATTCTTCTATGGGTACTTTAGAGTGTCTTGGATTTGCACAGAAGATCAAATGATTTTATTGTTTGAAAAGCTCTCTGATAGTGTGAATGTTTAGGTCTAGAGGAATTCTTGGAATACATACAAACTAAATGTTTTGTCGAGGGCATATAAAAGGGTTATTTATCAAGAATGATATTGCTTGAAAAGCTCTCTTATAGTGTGAATGTTTAGGTCTAGAGGGACTCTTGGAATACATACAAACTAAATGGTTTGCTGAGGCCATAGGGTCATTTATCAATAATAATCCCTTCTTGAATAGGAATGAAATAGGTTTCACGCATTTGCGCGATAGATAACATGTTCCATGATGATCGTTGATCGGTTACTTTGGTAAATATTGTACGGAATCAAGAATAAAAGTTTGATCGTTCTAAATGAAAAATCCTATATAAGATAATAAGTATCATTTTGCTGAAATTGGATCATTAGCAATCTGTTCCTTTGGTCAATACTTTAAGGAATCAAGACTGATCATTTGATCGACAATCTTCTGTTTTACAACTATCGGTTAAAAAAAACTAAAGATTTGAGACGCCAAATCTGTGATACTTGAGAGATCTGATAATGAATGACCTTATTACAGATGCGACATTAGATGCCTTCTATGTATCTGCACGAGCTGACGGTTTAGTCGTATATTCTTCGCAATATTGAAGCGAATGATGAGTTTACGTCCGCGAAAACCGTTTAAACCGTTCCAAAAAGGAGAAATTGCGTCATTGTCGATCGGCTACTTTAGCAATTATTCTACATAATCAAGAATAAACATTTGATCGTTTTTAATTAAAAAAATTTGATCATTGACGACAACCATCTATATTACAATATTCGGTTCAAAAAGACGGAGGTATCAAAACTGGGCTCTTAATGGTTTTCTTAAATTCAAAACCTTTCTACGAGCTGAAGTTTTAGTCGTATATTTCTAGAAGTCTTGCAGCGAACGTCACTGATCAATTACTTGATTGGTTTACCTGCAGAAAAACTAAAACCTGCAAAATTACAACTTCTGAGGATTTCAGAATAAGGATCGTTTCTAACCGGTGAGATGGAAGACTGAACTATTTCCACAATTAACGTTTTAATTATGGATGTATGACCCATAAGAGACTATTAGAGTCAACTATTAGAGTATCTTATCTTTACAATCGGACAGATCAGTTTGTCACAATGAAGTCATAGTTATTTGAACCAAGATTGACAATACCAGTAGTCAAATATTTGAGTCTTTTATCTGCACGATCTAACAGCTCTGCCGCAGAGATAATAAGAGTCTGCTTTCCTGCAACTAAAATATGATGGATCGGGGCGATCTTACAAACCTTTCAAAAGAAGTCATAGTTGTAGGAATGAAAAGTATATATAAATATAATCGAATATTTGATTTTCCCATTTCTATGATCTGATGGATCTGTTAAATGTGAGAAACATTAATCGATTGCGATATCAATATTTCAAAAGTTCTCCAGCCGATGATCTTAAATTCGCTACCTTTTGGTATATGGTTTACTTCTTCGAAAATCTTCAGCATGAGGATCAATTCGGATCTAATAGATTTTTATTTATGATTTAACGAAACTTTCATTGGAGCAACTGAATGATTTGGCTTTAGACTAATTGTGATCACTTTCTTTCAGATTTGTTACTTAAAGCATTCAAGGATTTAACACTCCTTTCAGCATGATCAGATGGAAAGGTTACGTCTTCACAACTAGAATGTTGTAATTGTTGAACGATTACTTAAGATAATATACTGAGGACTCACCTCCGCGATCTTTTAGTGGAATTCGCGTAACATTTTGATACTTAAACATCCAAGAATTAACACTTCTGTATAATTAACATTTCTAAGGTCAAGTGGATCGAAGATTTGAGGTGCTAGATTTGCATCATCTGACAAATCTGTCAAAGAAAGAATTGAATAATAAAAATGAGAAAATTATCGATCGATTGCTTTGAAGAACGCACATTCCAAAAGTTCATCTGCGGAAGGTCTTAAATTTTGGTATACATATGTATTTATATGATTTACTTCTTCGAAAATCTTCAGCATAAGGATCAATTCGGATCTAATAGATCGGTGATTTGAGGACCTAAGAAACTATTATATTTACGCAATCGAATATTACACCGATCTGCTAGAGTAAGGTATCAGAAGTTGACACCTTTTTAAAAGAATTTGGCCGATTTGTCCAAAGAGATTAGCAGATGTTTATTTCATATAAAGTTTACGTTTGCTTTAGCGAATATTCCGAGAAGCTCATATAGGATTAAAACCTGTAAGAAGTACAACTTTTGTTAGAATAAAGGTCTGAACGATAGCGACAATAAGTAGCTTAGGGTGTGACACTAATCAAATGTTTGGCTTAGGGAATAATATCGAGAACTCACCTAGGAATACAACTTTATTCACCAGGTAAATAGACATTTCATACCCTTTCAGTGCAGGAATTTGGAAAAGAACAATTCATTTATCAGAACCGTTTGATCATAAAACTAAAGAACTAGAACTGTACTAGAACCGAACTAGGAAATGAACTAGAACTGAACAGAACTGAACTAGAAACTGAAACTAGAACTGAATAGAACTGAACAGAACTGAAACTAGAACTGAACTGAACTAGAACTGAACTAGAACTGAACTAGAACTGAACTAGAACTGAACTAGAACTGAACTAGAACTGAACTAGAACTGAACTAGAACTGAACTAGAACTGAACTAGAACTGAACTAGAACTGAACTAGAACTGAACTAGAACTGAACTAGAACTGAACTAGAACTGAACTAGAACTGAACTAGAACTGAACTAGAACTGAACTAGAACTGAACTAGAACTGAACTAGAACTGAACTAGAACTGAACTAGAACTGAACTAGAACTGAACTAGAACTGAACTAGAACTGAACTAGAACTGAACTAGAACTGAACTAGAACTGAACTAGAACTGAACTAGAACTGAACTAGAACTGAACTAGAACTGAACTAGAACTGAACTAGAACTGAACTAGAACTGAACTAGAACTGAACTAGAACTGAACTAGAACTGAACTAGAACTGAACTAGAACTGAACTAGAACTGAACTAGAACTGAACTAGAACTGAACTAACTGAACTAGAACTACTAGAACTGAACTCGAACTGAACTAGAACTGAACTA